TATATATATTAGTAGACTTGAGTTTTTAATATCTCAATAGACGTGTGAAAATGAGGTAAAACTGAATAGTAATGCTGCGCCGAAAAAAAGGCATCTCTCCCGCGATACCGCGCCCGTGTGCCGCAGCTTCGTACCGACTCGACTTAACTCGGACTCTCGGCAAAGCCGCAACAATTTACGACGGCAATTAATGCGCGCGAGTAAGCCGTGTATAGCGCCTATAGTTAGCTGCCTCTTCAGTGTCGGAGCGCACCGAAAGCGAGGGAGAAAGAGAGACATTCCGTACACGCGCTCTCGTATGCGCACATGAGACAAAAAAAGGGCGAGTAACCTGGTAAGAAGAAGAGAGAAAGAGAGAAGGATGAGAAAGAAGGGGAGGGAGAGTACTATGGAGTACGATATAGAAGGAGAGGAGATCTCTCATGGAAAGGCGAAAGAGAGACGATTGAAGTGGAAAAGGGTGCGGTAAAGAAAGGCGAGAGGAAAGAGAGGAAATGAGAGAGAGAGAGAGAGAGAGAGAGAGAGAGAGAGAGAGAGAGAGAGAGAGAGAGAGAGAGGAGCGCGGGCAAAAGAGAAGAGAGGCGAACCGAGGCATCGGGCAGACTAAATAATATTATAGGTGGTGTTCTCACGGTCCCGGGACGCCCGCGGGCCAACTCGTCACCCCTCTCCCCGTACGGCCCCTCTTCCTCGCCTTATTCTCTCCTCCCGCTCTCCCTGGCCGCCTCTTACTCCCCCGCGCGTAAGCTTCGCCCACGCTGGGCCCTCACGGAGGGCCCCACAGAGTCGTTTGAGTCCCGCCGGTGAGACGGAGAGACACCGACCAAACGATGCCGGACGCAGACGAGGATGCACGAAAGGGTCAGAGGTCACCTCACGCTCGCTGACCGTCACCGTGGACGCGGTTTCTTCTCTCCTCTTCTCTCTCTCTCTCTCTCTCTCTCTCTCTCTCTCTCTCTCTCTCTCCGCTCCTCCCCCTTCTCTTTTTTCTTCCTCGACATAGAGACGCCGAGGAGAGCCTCCACACTCCTTTCCCCTTCTCTCTCTCTCCCACCCCCCGCGCGTTCGTCTTTTACTCCCCTTTCGTAACTTCGATGCCCTCGCGAGTCCGACTTTCCCCCCTTTTCGCCCCCCTTTCCTCCCTTCCCCCCTCCGCGTCTTCACGTCTTCTCGCTCTTCTCTCTTCTCGGTGAAGTCCTCCTCCGCGAAAGTTGACAGGCTCTACCCAGTTAATCAAGTAGCGAGTTAATTGCCCGGCTAGAACATAATACGCGCCCGCGATATACGCGGCACTTTATTTGGACATGCTGACATGTAACGCGCTGCTTTCCGAACGAAGTTCTATGTCAGATGAAGCGGGACGTCACAACGATCCGCGCTCATATCTTACGTCGTTTCATTGTGTTTCCCCGTGTCACAACGTATTAACATGCGCGAGTCACAACGTAGTGATGTCAACGCACTCGAGATTGTACGTGCCTTCGATACGACGGATATCAAGTGAAATTTTCACACGGCAAATATAATATATTGTGTAAAAAACGACAAATATTACATGCTTTGTCTCATTATTGCTACGAAACTTTATGTTCAAAATTTTGATCCTTGTAATTTTCTTATAATTTTCTTTTCACTTAATTACCAAGAGTCTTTATGGCAGACATATTTATTATAAAAATAATAAGGCTAAAAAATGAGTAAAATTAAGATGTACGTTATTTTTAAATATATCTTAATTTTGCTCGTTTGTGTTTACTGTCTTGATATTACTTTATAAATATGAGTCATTCTTTTTATTAAAGATATTATTATGGGATTATTCCTATATTTATAAAATCAAAAGTTATTACGTTTTTATAGAGGTTGAAAACTTATCTGAAGAAATTTTATTTTATAAATGCGCTTTTATTTCTTATTATAGAAAAAAATGCCTTTTTAAATGGTTATTTATGCATTGTTAGAGAAGAATAGTGTATGTAGTTATTACATCCGCAGTCAAGCGTATTATTGCGAATAATTCGACAATGCTTAGAGACCATCAATCGATTTTATATGTCAGGAAATTTTCTCGTCTGTGCTCTTTAACTCCAGAAGGCAAAAGGTTATAAGTGGCGTTCAACATCGATAAATAAAGTAACGCGGCGTGACATGAGAAATTCCTTGCGATCGGCGACCTGCGCTGAATCGAAAAGAAAGGGTCCGAATCACTGTCCTCCGGTCGATTCTAACATGCTTAACACACTTAACGATGACACGAGCGAGGCACGTGTACGCAAGCATTATAGAAAGTATTGTACTTTGAAAGAACGAGGCGAAATTTACGAAACTGACGGTGTGTATTTAATAATAATATTATCTCTTCTTGAAATTACTTTTAAGTTTTTTTTTAAAAATTATACAATTGTATTTGTATATTCGCACATAAATAAAAATATTACTAACAATATGCATTAAACTGCATCAAGATTCGCTTTGACCAAAAATAGCAGTATTCTCTTATTCGTGTGTTTAAATACTTTTCAATCTATTTCAATATATATTGAATATTCAATATTATTACATTCGTAATTTGAAATAAATTTCAAATTCATTTTATTAAGCGTGATGTACAATAAATTAATTGTAATTAATATTTGGTGACAAAATCACGAAATAACAATTGGTCGTCTATATCTCTTTTCTGATATTTCATACTTGAATGACGTAACAATGAAGAAAGCAGTTTCAAATGTATCGTCTTAGAGGTTCTCTTCGGTTAGCAAGCACCATCCACTGCCATTCAATTTGCTCTTGTTTCCTCAATGCGGTGAAGCGCAGAGGGAGGCCGCGACATCCCGCCGCGTAGATAATTAGATCGCTACTAAGCACCTCCACTTTCACGCATCTTCACCTCCGCGGTTGCGTACAGGCACTTGTTTCTCTCCTTGTTTTCCGCCTCCTATCCCCCTTGGATACGAGTTCTCGCCCCGTTTGTTTCTCTTTGACTACATGCGCGTTCACGGCGCGTTCACGGCGTGATACAACCAGTCCCCTTCGCCTCAATGTGATAAAGGAAAACATCGTTTCGTTTGACCACGTGATTGCAATGGTTACCCCTTTCCCCATCTAGCGTCTTCTCACCCGTTTTAATTTCTCTTAAAAATACTTGAAAGTACCTGCATAATATTTACATAATTTTGCTTGCGTCAATACAATTGCATTTATATAATTAAACCATTAGAGTTTTTCAACCGGCACGATAAAAAGAAGCGAAAAAATTTTGAAATAATTAAAAAAGTGCATAAGGAGTGAGGTAATATTTTAAAAATTGTGAAAATTACCGAAATTATATTCACTAACATTTTAAACAAAGCGATATTATTTTTTAAACATTAAA